CGCTCTTCTTTCAACTTGCTATCGCAGTGGTGCGGATGCGCATGCGTAGTGACTAGCATGGGGCATTGATACAGTGTCTGTGTTCCTGAATACTGACATACGGTGTTATTGAATATTGATATGATGGGCTATTGAATAGGAATAGATTGGATGTATGTGTGCTGTGAAATAATATGAAATGTTAAACTGTCAAATTAGGAGCTAGAATGAGAAGTTAGGGAGGTGGTGCTGTGGCTCAAGTGGTAGAGCACCTGCCTTGAGCTGAAGAGCTTAGGGACGCGCGCAGGCCCAGAGTTCAAACCCCACAACCCACCAAAAAAGAAGAAGAAGTTAGAAGTTAGAATATGGAAGATAGAGATAGGGACACACCCTGAAGCCTAGAGAGCCTTCTCCAAGATAAGCCGACCCACGCAGGCTAGCCTCTCCGCCCCAGCCACTGCCAGGTGTGACTCGAAGCAAAGCTGCCACCAAGGCGGCCAGAAATGAAAGGCCCAGCCTAGAACATATAAACACCCCGGGCAACAGAGACCCAGCAAGGTGGCCTCCCCGAATGAGGCTACTCCACATCGGACCGAACCTCCCCTGGAGCCTGCCCCGGCAAGCCAGCCGCTTCTCCCTCCAGAGACTCGGAGCAGCCCGGAGGACACCCTTGGTGGGCTTTGCTCGACCTTCGGACCAAGTGATGCGATGTGTGAGCTCCCCTGGGTGACACATGGGTAGTAGGATTAAGCATAAGAGTTATTGCCAGGTGCCAGGGGCTCACGCCTGTAATCCTAGCTACTCAGAAGGCTGAGATCTGAGGATGGCGGTTCAAAGTCAGCCTGGGCAGGAAAGCCCATGAGACTCTTTTTTTCTGTCAGTCGTGGGGCCTGAACTCTGGGCCTGGGCGCTGTCCCTCAGCGCTTCAGCTCAAGGCAAGCGCTCTACCACTTGAGCCACAGCACCACTTCCGGTTTTCTAGTGGTTTATTGGAGATAGGAGTCTCACGGTCTTTCCTGCCCGGGCTGGCTTTGAACCGAGATCCTCAGATCTCAGCCTCCTGAGTAGCTAGGATTACGGGGTGAGCCACTGTCGCCCAGCTTCGTGAGACTCTTATCTCCAAGAAACCAGAAGTGGGGCTGTGACTCACGTGGTAGAGCACCTGCCTTGAGCTGAAGAGCTCAGGGATGCGCCCAGGCCCAGAGTTCAAGCCCCATCACCACCACCAACAACAAAAAGGTAGTTATTGGTGTGGATTGTATTTGAAGTGTTTGAATAAACTGAGTGACACTTACTAGTCTACCCATGATGCTGTATTTGAGTTCAACACAACATGCCTATCATCCCAGATCTCCGGAGCCTGAGACGGAGAAAGATCTGGAGTTTGAGGTTGCAAAACCCAGGCACACTCAACTCCCTCTCCTTAAAGCAGAGCAAACAAAAACCCAGCCCCAGCAAGAAAACCTTTGCTCCTTTCCAGGACAATGCCCTCCTCCACCTCCAACCTCGGTCCATGGCTCCCCCCCCCCCGCCCCCAGCTGTCTCCCCTGTGGCCTGCCCCACGGCTCCCAGCCTCCTTTGCCACCCACGGCCACCAGGGGGCGTGCTGTCCCCTCGAAAGCAGATCTGCTCTCCTCACCCGGTGGGTGGGGGTGGGGGGTCATGCCCAGGGCTTTGGAGGGCTTCTAAAAAAAAAAAAAAATCCAAGACAAAACTGAACACAGAGGGCTTTTGTCCAGATGCTTAGGAGGCTGAGAACTAGAGGATCATGGTCAGAGGCCAGCCCAGGTTCCTGAGAACACCCCCCCCCGCCCCCCTTTCCTTGCTCAACCTGTAGCTGGATGCAGTGGTGTGTGACTGTTATCCCAGCCAGTCCAACCCCACGCCACGGCACTTTCAACAGAAGAGAGTTTGGGGAGAGGGAGGGCTGAGCTCCCAGACTGTCCCCCCCAGGACCCTCCAGAGTAGCTAGGATTACAGGCCTGAGCCATAGTGCCCAGCTTTGCCTCCCCCCCCCCCCGCTTTTTGAGATGGGTTCTCTGTGTGTAGCCCGGGCTAGCCTTGAACTCTTGAGTCTCCTGTCTGAGCCTCTAGAGTGTTGGGATTACAGGTGTGCACACCCTACCACCACCACACCTGACTTAACATGGAGCTCTCTGCCCTTTATCATGGGTGACACATGAAGATGGAGTATGACCACACACCAAGGCCAAAGGCCAGGAGTAGAGCCTCAGCACTGGCCAGCCTGTGCTGGGCATGTGTGGGCATTCCTGGGCTGGGAGGGGGGGGCGCTGCATTCTCTGTTCTGGCCATTGGGGGGCACCAGGAGTCTGGAGCTGGCCTGTCACGCCAAGGGGTCAGTGCTTCTCAGCGGAGGAAAGCACTGGGGGGCTGAAGAGGGGGCTTCCGATGGCCGATCTCGAGTCCTTCATCAGGCCCGAGACAGCGCAGCACCGCAGCCGGCCCATGGGGCCCCCAGCTCTGCCTGCATTCCTTCTGGACTCCTGCTGGAGCGGCCATTTCTTTTTAGGCATGAGGTTGTGTGTGTGTGTGTGTGTGTGTGTGTGTTGGTCCTGAGGCTTGAACTCAGAGCCTGGGTGTTGTCCCTGAGGCTTTTTCTTGCCTAAGGCTAGTGCTCTAGCACTTGAGCCACACCTTCACTTTTGGCTTTTTGGTGGTCATTGGAGATAAAAAAAATCTCACATTCTTTCTTGTTCAGGGATGGCTTTGAACCTCGAGCCTCAGAGCTCAGCCTCCAGAATGGCTGGGATTACAAGCATGCGCCATGAAGGGTGTCATGCCTGTCTGTGTTCCTCTGATCCTGGCCTGTAGCCCAGGCTGTTTCTCACCCTCCCTTGTGCCCTGAACCTTGATGTTGTCCCTCTGGATTTCCCGAACTCCATATTCTCCGGTCCCTCCCATCCCCGTTCTTGACCTCAGCACACCCCAGCTCCTTGGCCTCCACCTTGGCTTCCTGCCCCCTCTAGGCCCTGGCCTCCTGCTCTCAGCTCCCTCCAGGAGGCTCAGACCTAATCAGGCTGATTATCTAGTGCCAAGTTCAATTCCACTTTCCCTGGCTCTGACTCCACTCGCAGTAAATTTCCTTCCCCCGCCTGCTCCCTGGGAGGCCTGGGCCTCACCAGCCTGCATAGGAAGTCGCCACCCCCTCCTTTCCCCCTGCTGGATCATCAGGGATGAATCAGGCCAGCCTGGGGGTCACTGAAACACCCACCGCATCACAGGGGACGGTCAAGCGCCGTTGGCCACAGCCTTCTGAATTCAGAACGATTTTCTTTTGGCTTCCAGGCTCCAAGACGAAAGAACACAACACAGGAGATCAAATCACACAAGCCTGAACCAGGCCTAGTGACACATGCCTGTAACCCCAGCACCCAGGAGGCTGAGGCAAAAGGATCAGGTGTTTGAGACCAGCTTGGATTACAGGAGACCCTGTCTATAAAAGCCCAACTGGGACTGCCAAAGCCCTGGCTTAATCATCTGAGCTTTACCCGCTTGCTGATTGATCAGTCTCTGCTGCCTTGGTTTCCCTCATCTGTGCACCAGGGATGGTGAAAGTGCTTGGCATGCAGAACCGGAGACGGAGCCCAGAGACAAGCGGCTCCTGTGCTCACCCAGGTGGGAAACGGCTTGCCAAGAGGTGGAGCAGGGCGGGGCAGTGTCTGCTTTGGCTGTTCTATGGACAGCAGCTGGGTCTGCTGCAAGTGCAGCCTATGAAATACCTCTATCCGAGCCAGGCACTAGTGCACACGCCTGTCATCTCAGCTAGTCAGGAGGCCGAGGGCTGAGGATTGCTGTTTGAAGCCAGCCCCAGGCAGGAAAATGCCATCCAAAGGTTACAAGTGGAGCTGTGGCTCAAAAGGTAGAGCTCCAGCTTTGAGTGAAAAAGCTTAGGGACAGCGCTTAGGCCCTGAGTTCAAGGCCCCAGCACCAACACACACATACACGTGTCTCTTTTCTATGGCCACTGACATCCAGACCTGTGGTGGGAGGTGGATCTCAATGTTGGAGCTGAGGACTTTGCAGGCAAGTTCCTGAATGGCTGAAGGTTGTCCAAAGCCCAGCGGGGAGAGCAAGCTGTGGAGTGGCACCTGCAGGTGTGCCTGATGTCCACCAGAGGGCAGCAGAGCCCAGGCTCTGCCATCATTGAGCCCTGAGTGAGGTGTTGGGCCTCCCAGACACCCACAGGCCCTGAAGGGTAATGAAGGAACCCTGAAATGTGAAGAATGGCAGCAGTGAAGGGGAAAGGCCCTTGCTCAGCCTAAGGCCACTTTACATCCAGAGGGGCCACCCGATCTCTCCACGCTTAGCTCAGAGAGTTCATGAGGCATAGGATTTGGGGTGTGGCTCAAAGCCTGGCAAGTGGGAAGCCTCCCCTCTCCCCTCTCTCTCTCCTTCTCACTCCTCCTCTCCCCCCCCATCTCTCCAGGCGCCCTACCCTGGAGAGAGGAAAGGGGGAAGGAAGAGGGCCAGGGGGAGGGCAGGAGGGGAGATCCACAGGTTTTCCTCACTTGGTGACTATAGAAAGCTCTGGAAATCCTAAGAACGTCCCAAAGCTGCTTCTGCCTGGTTTAGTTATGACAGTCAAAAATCCATAAAAAATAACTTTATTTTTAAAAGGCAATTTGCTTTATTATGATAGAGGTGATATACAGAGAGATAACAATTACACGAGTCAGGCAATGAGTCCATTTCCTTTCACACACCGTCTTCTGCATTAAATAATTTCATTAACGGTCCTAACCTTTCAAAGAGTGTGTGAATCCTGCAGGGAACAGGCCTGGGACCGGGGCGTGGAGGGGCCGCTGGGCCTGGGCTGGAGCGGGCCGGGCGCTGTCCTGGGTGCTGAAGTTCCTATCCTGGCGCCCATGCGCTCCTGGTGGAGTCTCTCAGTCCTCTCGGTTTCACATTAAGTCCCCTGGAAACTGCTCATTCCAGCCATGCTCCAGCAGCCTCAGCTCCCCACAGCCTCACACGCTGCTGTGATCCCCCCGAGCCGAGCCTCACAGGGACGTCATGACCACCTCTGGCCTCTGGATTTGGACCTGGGAAGAGACAGAGCCAGGTGAGGCCTGAGGCCCCCACAACTTGGTTTTGGAGGCATCTGAGATGCTCATTTACAAAATGCATCTTGTTACATGGGGTAAACTACAAATACTGGCCTAACTGCACACCCAAGGGTGGGGGTTGCAGGCAGGCTGGCCACACGTCTGTTTCGTGCCCCTAAATCTCTGCAGGGAATCGCTCATCTGATGCCAGTATTTCTTCTGAGCCTCTAAGACACAGCTCCTGGTAGGTTGGGCACTAGTGGGGCTCATGGCTGTGATCTTAACCACTCAGAAGGCTGAAATACGGAGGATCACTGCTCAAGGCCAAATAAATCTGTGAGGCTCCATTTCCAATGAACCCAGCAAAAAGCTAGGTTTCAGGTATGGCTCAAGTGGCAGAGCATTAGCCAAGCAAGAAAGCCAAGCAAGTGGGTGGCCCTCCCTGAGTTCAAACTCCAGTACTATATTTTAAAAAATCCCAGCCTGTGATCCTCCTATTTGCATTTCCCGGAGTTACTGGAGATGACAGGCACATGCTTTTGCACCTAGCCATTGGTTGAGATGCAGTTTTGCTAACTTCCCCACTTCACCACCACCCCACCCCGGTTTATCTGGCCTCAAACTGTGATCCTCCCATGCTTAGCCTCCCAAGTAGAAAATACCCAATTCAAGATAAAAAGACCAAAGAAGGGCAACAAAAACCAATGAGTAAAACTGTTGTATCCATATATGAATGTTATAATGAGTGTTATAACGGATATGCTCCTGGAGCCCTAGGGGGAAATGGGATATTGGGTAATTTTAAGGAGTTACTATCAATTTATTGGGTGAATGACAGTGTTTGAGAAAAATCCAGGCAAGTGTTTAGGGAGCAAGTGTTAGAACATTTGCAACAGATGGTCAGGTGGTCCAGCAAAAACTGGATGGATAGACAGACATGCAGCAAGAAAATACAGCAACTGTTGAACCCCATTCTCTGCATAGGGCCTGTAAGTATGTACCATATCATAATTTTGACACTCATGTTTGCTTCCAAAATAAAATATCCTGGCAACACAGGCGTGCAAGCCCAGCACTCAAGACTCTGAGGCTGGACGATTGCAAGTTTGGGGTCAGCATGAGCTACATAGCAAGACCCTGTCTCAAAACTAAATGAATATAACAGCTAGACACAGTGGCTCATGCCTGTAATCCTGGCTACTTGGGAAATGGAGGGCCAAAGGATCATGATTTGAGGCCAAACTAGACAAGAAAGTTGGTGAGCCCACATTTCAGCTGAGGCTGAAAGCTAAGCACGGTGGTTCACGCCTGCCATCCCAGATGCAAGTGCAAATAGGAGGATCGTGGTCCAGGCTGGCCCAGGCGTGAGTGAGATGTTCTATCTGAAAGAAATACCTAAATCAAAAATGAACAGCTCAGGTGGTGGAGCCCCTGCCTAGCAAGCACAGGGTGCCAAGGTCAAACTCCAATATTGTCCAAAACAGAAGTTAAAAACAAAACAAATAAGCCACCAAGGACATACTCAAAGCAGAGAAGGAAGCCGCAGAGCCTAAAAGTTCAGGGGTGCAGGGAAGGCCGATCCCACCCCCACAATGTCCATTTTGTGGGTCCAGGGACCAGCCAGCTGTGCAGGGCTTTGATCCTCTGAAGGCAGAAGTTGAGGGGAGGAAGCATCAGGCTGGCCTCACCTTTCTTTCCAGGTCTATGTGGCTCAGGGAGGGCTGGAAGGTGCTGTACATGGAGTCCAGGTGAATGTAGTCTTCCCCTAGAGGAGGAGGGGGAAGGAAGACAGGGGGAAGAAGGGGAAGAGAAGGAGGGGGAGAGGGAGGTGGCCACACAAAGAAAGCTGGTTAGCAAGATAAGCTGGCCCCAGACTCCAAGCTTGCTAGGCAGGTGCTCCCCGACTTGAACTATACCTCGTTTTCAAATTTCATTTTCAAATAGGGTCTCACGCTTTTGCCCTGTTATTCCTAGAAGTTGAGGTTGCATTGGTTGTGAGCTGATTGTGATGCTTCTATCCCTGCCTCTGAAGTAGCTGGGATTATAGGCCTGCTCTATCCAGCTCAGGGCCTGACACAAACATGGTAAGGCTAGAAATTCATAAATATAGTGGTAGCTGTATTTTGACAGCAAGTAGCTCTGTGATAATCTATATCTAAGTATTTTCTTTCTTCTCTCTCTCTCTCTCTGTTTCTTTTTTTGTTGGTTGTGGGCCTTGAACTCTGTGCTTGGGCATTGTCCCTGTGCTCTTCAGCTCAAGGTCAACAATCTACCACTTGAGCCACAGCGCCACCTCCGGTTTTCTGGTGGTTAATTGGAGATGAGTCTCTTGGACTTTCCTGACTGGGCTGACTTTGAACCACGATCCTCAGATCTCAGCCTCATGAATAGCTAGGATTACAAGTGTGAGCCACTGGCACATGGTGCTCCAAGTATTTGCTGTCGCTATCATTTCTCGTTTGGTTCTTTCCTGTTTGTTTGGCCAGTCCTAGGGCTTGAACTTGGGGCCTGAGCACTGTCCCTGAGCTTCTTTTGCTCAAGGCTAGCACTCTACCACTTGAGCCACAGCGCCACTTCCAGATTTTTCTGTGTATGTGGTACTGAGAAATCAAACCCAGGGCTTCATGCATACTTTAGGCAAGCACTCTGCCACTAAACCATATTCTCAGCCTCTTGGCTAAGTGTTGTAGAAACTTAACTTTTTCTTTCCCAAAGAAACCCTTTGTGGAGCTGGGTGCTGGTGGCTCACGCCTGTTATTCTAGCTACTCAGGAGGCTGAGATCTGAGGATCATGGTTCAAAGCCAGCCTGGGCAGGAAAGTCCATGTGAGACTCATCTCCAATAAACCACTAGAAAAATCGGAAGTAGCGCTGTGGCTCAAGCAGTAGAGCGCTCGCCTTGAGCTGAAGAGCTGAGGGATAGTGCCCAAGCCCAGAGTTCAAGCCCCACAACTGACAAAAAAAGAAAAAAGAAACCCTGTGTGTGTGTGTGTGTATTGTTATTGTTATCACCGTCATTTGTCAGAAATATTTGTTATCAAGGTCTAAGTTTCTTGGATCATGGTCAGAAAATAGAGTCTGATGTAGGTAGTTTTGGGGAAATACATGGAAACTTTTTTGTGGCCTTGTACAAGGCTGTTTGTACAGGTTCTCTATGCCATGTTTTATTCATTTGTGTGAATTTTTTTCTATTTTTCACAAAAGATTTCCTTATTTTTCATGTGCCTTTCACCCATAAGGAACAGCTCAATCTTGTATAAATCATTTTCCTCTTTGTGTGTGTATGTGTGCGACTGTGTTCTAGGGCTTGAATTTAGGGCCTAGGCGCATCCCTGAGCTTTTGTTTTTGTTTTTGGTTGGTTGTGGGGCTTGAACTCGGGGCCTGGGCACTTTCCCTGAGCTCTTCAGCTCAAGGTGAGCGCTCCACTGCTTGAGCCACAGCACCGCTTCTGGTTTTCTAGTCGTTTATTGGAGATAAGAGTCTCACGGGCTTTCCTGCCCGGGCTGGCTTTGATCTGTGATCCTCTGATCTCAGGCTCCTGAGTAGCTGGGATTACAGGTGTGAGCCACCGGCGCCCGGCTTCCCTGAGCTTTTTGATTCAAGGCTGATGCTATACCATTTTAGCCACAGCTCCACTTGCTTTTTGGTGGTGAACTGAAGATAAGAGTCTCTCAGACTTTCCTGCCCAGTCTGGTTTTGAATGCAGTCCTCAGATCTCAGCCTCTTGAGTAGCTGGGATTCCAGGTATGAACACTGGTGCTCGGTTTATAATCCATTATTCGTATCCATTTACAGTTACTGTGTTTATTGGTGGATTGGATTACTTCCAGCCATCTTATTATTATCTCCCATTGTCCCAGCCTTTTTTTCCCTTTCTTCTCTTTCTTATGGGCTTATATGGGCTGACTGGACCTTATTCTCATTCTAATCTTCTCCTTCTTAGAAGTTAACATTTTTCTTCCAGAAATTTCCTCATGCCATGGTTTTCTGTCTTCTGAAGTTTTACAGACTTCACTGCTAGAAACTTCAATGTAGGGCTGGGAAGGTGGCTCAGTGGTAGAGCGCTTGCTTGCCTTGTATGCATGAGGCCCTAGGCTCGATTCCTCAGCACCACAAAGCAGAAAAGAAAAATCTGGGAGTGGCGCTGTGGCTCAAGTGGTAGAGCGCTCGCCTTGAGCTGAAGAGCTGAGGGACAGCGCCCAGGTCCAGAGTTCAGGCCCCACAACTGGACCCCCCCCCTCAAAAAAAAAAAGAAAAGAAACTTCAATGTACGCTCACACTGAAAAAGCCTAACGCTGATCTCTTGGCTGAGATGAAACTCACCTGTGAACCACCTCACCCATGATGGGCTCAGCACTTATGATCTAGAATGATCTAGAATGATCTAGAACCACAATGCTCCCTGTAGGCCCTGTGTTGGTGCCTCATTCCTTGGTGTTGCTGGAGCCAGTTGAGGAAATGGGGTTTCCAGTGTGGGGGCATGCTTCTTCCCTCCCCTCCTCGGAGCCCCATAATCTCCCCATGTGCCCTCCCACACACAACTTGAGTCATTCTGAGTCCCGATGGGATTGCCCATACCTTCTGACACATCAAAACCAATGTTCTGGAAGGTTCCAGGAGCTGCTCTACCCTCCTCTTCATTCCATTTGTATAACTGCGACACTTTGAGCTTTTGCCTGTTGGAAGACATCCCACACCCACAGTGAACCCCTTTTGATCAAGGACAGGGTGTGGAGGGGACGCAAGTGGACCCTGCTGTCTACACCTCATCCTCCACTTGGCGGGCTCCAGGAGGAGAAGGATCACAGGGACGGAGGGGGGGCGGGTGTTGGAGGACGGATGTGGGGGTGGCTCACCTTTGGGCCTTCCTCTTGAAGCGGAAGGTGAAGAAGCCGAGGACAACGAGGGCCACCAACACCACCACGCCTGCTGCACCCACGAGCGCGAACACCAGGCTCTTCTGGATGCCCCACTCGCAAGTCTCCCCTTGGTACCAGTGCGTGTCGGTGTTCAAACAGCTGCAAGAGCAGAGGAGAGCAGTCAGCCCGCAGCCCTGGGGAACTGCAGGATGGGGGCTCCAGGGCACAGGGCATGGGCAGGGCGCAGGCTCCGCCTCCTCAGCTGGTCTTCCAGTGAGCCCAATGCAGAGCCTCAGGCCTCAGGACATTGGCTCAACCCTGGGGCTTGGCCGGCCAGGTGGATGGATTTCCAGTTTCCCACCCACCTCCCAACCCTGGACCCCAGCTCCTGCCCTGCCCTGAAGCTCTTCCTCTCCCTCCAGCCCCTCTAAAATCCCTTTCCCAAGGCGGGCACCTGAAGCTCCCACTTGTCATCCTGGCCACTCAGGAGGCTGAGATCTGAGGATTATGGTTCAAAGCCAGCCTGGGCAGGAAAGTTCATGAGACTCTTATCTCCAATAAACCACCAGAAAACTGGAAGTGGCACCACCATGGCTCAAGTGCTAGAGCATCAGTCTTCTGTTGTTGTTGGTGGTGGTTGTGGGTCTTGAACTCTGGGCCTGGGCGCTGTCCCTCAGCTCTTCAGCTCAAGGCTAGCACTGTACTGCTTGAGCCACAGCACCTCTTCCGGTTTTCTGGTGGTTTATTGGAGATAAGAGTCTCATAGCCTTTCTTGCCCAGGCTGGCTTTGAACCATGATCCTCAGATCTCAGCCTCCTGAGTAGCTAGGATTATAGTTATGAGCTACCAGCGCCCGGTTTAGAGCATCAGTCTTGAGTGAATAAAAGCAAGGGACAATGTCTAGGCCCTGAGTACAAGCCCTGGTACCTTGTCTAAGGCCTGGTCTAGAATGACCCCTCAGGTCTCAGCTAGTGCACGATTCTCTGCTACAACTTTTGCTCGGTAGAGTTATCTCTGTTTTATTTATTAATAATTAATTTAATTTTTGTGTGTGCCAGTAATGGGTCTTACACTCAGGTGCTGGGCATTGTCCCTGAGATTTTTCCCTCAAGGCTGGTATTCTACCACTTGAGTCAAAGCTCCAGGTCCAGCTTGTTGCTGATTAATTGGAGATAAGAGTCTCATGGACTTTCCTACATGGGTTGGCTTTAAATTGTGATCCTCAAATCTCAGCCTCCTGAGTAGTAAGGATGACAGCCACCAGTTCCTGGCAGGATCATCTCTCTTTAAGTCAATTGTAAATTATTTGAGACAGAGTCTTGCTATGTAGCTCAGACTGGCTTGGAACTCAGGAGGCTCTGGCAGGAACCTCCTAAGAGCTGGGATTACAGGCATGCTACTGTGGCTGGATGTGTGTTCACAATGAGTGCCTGTCTTGGCTCTCAACCTGCCCCATTAGAGGCTGAAGGCAGTGGGGAGATGGAGCCAGGGGCGCCCCTGGCTCCTGGGGTGGTGGGTACTCACAGGCAGCGGGGCCCAGAGCGCTGGAGCTGGCACTTTCCATAGTGACAGTCCTTGGAGAAGTTGAAGCCGGCCATGCAGGGCGTGACGCAGTACAGCTTGCCCTTCAGGAACTCCACCCGGAAGTAGGGCGCAAAATCCTCCCCAGCCTTTTTCTGGCATTCCTCTGAGGGAGGGAACAAGAAGAAGCCAGGGAGGAAGGGGGGGTGCAGGGTGCTCCAACCCTGGTCACCCCCACCAGCCCTCCTCCGCTCCACGGGGAACCCTACCTTCAAAATTGTTCTCAGCAACAGTAAAGTTTTGCACCACGGTGGCAGTTGAATTGAAGCAGAGGAGGGCTGGGAGAGACAGGAGAGGTTGTGATGGCCTTGTTCAGCACCCTGGGGTGAGGACTCGGGGCTGCACTGGGGGACTGGGAAGCTGGCTGGTGCCAAGGTGCAAGGCCAGACTCCCTCCTAGCTCCCCGAATCCACCACCCTCCGTGTCCCGGGGCTCCCTGGTTCCTTTTCCCTCTCCCCTCCAGCCCCTAAAACGGAATATTTGCAGTGTCATGCTGAGTCACACTGAGCCTCGCTGACTCATGCTGAGGTCACGCTGAGTCATGCTGAGGTCACCCAGAGTCTTGCTGAGTCATGCTGACTCATGCTGAGGTCACCTGGAGTCTTGCTGAGTCACCTTGACTCTTGCTGAGTCATGCTGACTCATGCTGGGGCACACTGAGCCTTGCTGAGTCATGCTGACTCATGGTTTTCTAGCAGACCCAAGGTCCTGGACCCCTTAATATGGGTGAAGGGACTCTGCAGGACCTCTGCAGGTCTTCTGCATCTCTACTTGTCTTTAAGTCCCCCTTTCCAGGGTTCAGTTGGAATAACCCATTCCAGGGATGGGGGGGCACTAAGCTCCATCCTCTCCCTCCTCCCCTCTCCCTCCTCCCCTCTCCCTCCTCCCCTCTCCCCTCCCCCTCCTCCCTGCCCCTCCTCTCCCCTTGCTTACAGGAGCAGGACTCATTGACGCTTATCTGCTGTTGCGTTGCAGTCTGGATTTTTTCCTCTACTTCCGCTTTGGCCTTGTTGAATACTTCCTTGTAATCTGGGACGTACTGGACCTTCAGGATGACTTCGTGCTCCACCACCACACTGCCAGACCTGAGGGCAGAGGGATAACTCTCACACACCATGCCCGGCTGCCCAGCCTCCTCCCCAACCCCGCAGCTGTGGGGAGCCATGGCCAATGCTGTGTTCCAGGCCTGCACTTAGACCTTCTCCAGTCCTCATGAAAACAAATGATTGAGCCTCTAAAACTCCCTCCATATAACAGTTAGGCTCTGGAGCCCATCACCAGTGACTCACGCCTGTCAGCTCAGCTCATTAGGAGGATGAGATCTGAAGATCGAGGCTCAAATCCAGATGGACAAGAAAGTCCATGAGACTCTTATCTCCAAAAAACTACCAAAAAGCCAGCACACGCGCACACACACACACATTTAAAAAATCACAGCTATTAGTGTCGAAAAATTAAATAGACTTTGCCAGAGAATCACGCAGACATCCAGGCACAGAGAACAAAGAAAGGTTTATTGCTGGAAAGGGGACGGGCAAGACTCCTTCCCACAAGGGAGATGTGAGAAGAAGCGCCGGCCATTGTCTGAGGTGATCTATAGAACCTAGGAGGTTTAGGAGGGGCTAGAAGGGGCGAGGAGGTGGAGACCCCGGTGTGGACGTGTGGGCCAGGGGCTTCATCATGGCGGACTAGGATTCATGGCTGCTGCCCAAACAGTAGATAAGGGGTCCTGCAGCTGCCCAGACCTGAAGGTCACTGTAAGGGGCTCTTGTTGGCTTCTATGGTGGTAGCTGCCCCGGAGAGGGGGCTGGAAGTTGATTATTTACTGCCTTTACTACAGGGGCCTAGTGTTGCCTAGGAAGGGAGCGTGCTGAGCGCTGGAGAAGGCAAGGGGAGTGCTAAGCCATGGGAAGGGAGCTCATTTTGTTAACAAGTGTAATTTTATTTCTTTATTTTTGTTATACTGGTCCTGAGGCTTGAACTTGGGGCCTGGATACTGTCCTTGAACTTTTTCTCTCAAGGCTAGCACTTGAGCCACAGATCCACTTCCAGCTTTTTGGTGTTTAAGAGATAAAAGTTAAGCCAGGCATCGGTGGCTCATGCCTGTAATCCTACCTACTCAGGAGGCTGAGCTCTAAGGATCACTGTTCAAAGCCAGCCAGCCTGGGCAGGAAACTCCGTAAGACTCTTATCTCCAATAAACCACTCAGAAAACCGGAAGTGGTGCTGTGGCTTAAGTTGGTAGAGCGCTCACCTTGAGCTGAAGAGCTGAGGGACAGCGCCCAGGCCCAGAGTTCAAGCCCCACAACCGACAAAAAAAAAAAAAAGATAAAAGTTGCGTGGACTTTCCTGCCTTGGTTGACTTTGAACTACAAACCTGTTCTCAGCCTCCTGAGTAGCTGGGATGACAAGTGTGAGCCACTGTACCCAGCCTATTTTTGTAATTCTTTTTTTTTTTTTGGTCAGTCGTGGGGCTTGAACTCTGGGCCTGGGCGCTGTCCCTCAGCTCTTCAGCTCAAGGCGAGTGCTCTACCACTTGAGCTACAGCGCCATTTCCGGTTTTCTGGTGGTTTATTGGAGATAAGAGTCTCACGGTCTCTCCTGCCCGGGCTGGCTTTGAACCATGATCCTCAGATCTCAGCCTCCTGAGTAGCTAGGATTACAGGCGTGAGCCACCAGCGCCCGGCTGTAATTCTTTTTTTAAAATAAGTTTTTTATTGTGAAAATACTGTACAGAGGGGTTATAATCACTTGAGTAAGGTAATGAGTACATTTCTTATCAAGCATTGTTGCCTCTTCCTTTGTTTTTCCCCTACCATCCCTTCCCTCCCATCTCCACAACTACATTCCCCCTCTCCCACCCCCACCATTTTAGTAATTCCAAAGTGACATCTGATATCTAAAAGGCTGACATTTTAATCAAAAGTCTCAAGACTTAGAGTCAGAACTTTCACAAGAACCCAGCCTCAAGATCTTTGACAAGACGTTTCTCTATCTCAAGATCTTCCTGTTGCCACCTAAGAACTAGGGTTAAAGCTTTGTGCCACTATACCCAGTCCTATCTATCTATCTATCTGTCTGTCTGTCTGTCTGTCTGTCTATCATCTATCTAATAGAGATATATCTATTCATTCACTTATTTTGACATAAGGTCTCACTATGTTGTTCAGGTTTGGCCTCAAAATCCTGGGCTGAAGCAATCCTTGTACCTCAGCATCCTGAGAATCTGTTACTCCAGGCACACACCACCATGCCTGGATTCTTCCACATACTTGAAATCATCTCTAGATTATGTATCATATGGAACATGAATGCTATGAAAATAGGTATCATTCTATGTTGTTTAAGGAATTATGACAAGGGGAAAAAAGAAACTTCTGTATATTCAGTCTAGATGCAAGTATTTTTTTTTTGGGGGGGTGAGGTTGTGGGGCTTGAACTCTGGGCCTGGGCACTGTCCCTGTGCTCTTCAGCTCAAGGTGAGCACTCTACTGCTTGAGCCACCAGCGCCCAGCTAGGTGCAAGTATTTTTTCCCCAGAACATTTTCAATCCACAGTTCACTGAATCCATAAATATGACACCAACAGATATGACTGTACATCCATACAGCATACACAATGAATCCTAGAGCTAGAAGAACTCGTGGAACAAAACAACATGGGATTTGGAAAAGACCAGAGGGAATTTTAAGTTCAAGGCTATCTTTCATTAGAAAGAAGTGGTTAGGGCTGGGAAGGTGGCTAAGTGGTAGAGTGCTTGCCTTGCATGCATGAGGCCCTGGGCTCGATTCCTCAGCACCACATAAGCAGAATAAAATAGAAGTGGTGCTGTAGCTCAAGTGGTAGAGCACTAGCCTTGAGCTGAAGAGCTGAGGGACAGTGCCCAGGCCCAGAGTTCAGGCCCCACGACCAGCAAAAAAAGAAAGAAAGAAAAAAAGAAAGAAGGAAGTAATCCCATTATACCCTCTTGGTGGTGACCCTGGGCATTGACTAGGCAACACCAATGCCTTCTTCTGGAGTGGAGCTGGGGTGGGTATACTGGCCGTTGCCCTCAATGGCAAGGTGGCCATGGACAAGTCCATAAGCCTCCTGGAGGCTCAGTTTCACTGCGTGTGGAAAGACCTGGCTTCCATCCCATACTTAGCCTGGAGCTTTTCCAGGATGTCTGTCTGTTCCCAACAGTATTTTTGTTTTGAGTTTGACTCTACCATTTTATGATCTTTGGGGAAGACTCCATGGGCCTCTGAGCCTTGGCTCCCATGTCCATGCCATGGGGACAGTCATGCAACGTGGCTTGCTCACACACTGCTTCTGTACTCTTAGAGGGAGAGCTCCCTTCTGGATTTGGACAGTTAAATTTGTTTTGGGGGGGGCAGTCCTGGGCTTCAACTCTGGGCCTGGCTACTGTCCCTGGGGTTGTTTTGCTCAAGGCTAGTACTGTGCCACTTGAGCCACGTCTGGCTTTTTCTGAGATTAATTGGAGATGAGTCTCACAGACTTTCCTGCCTGGGCTGGCTTCCACCCCCAGTCCTCAGATCTCAGCCTCCTGAGTAGCCAGGATTACAGGCAGGAGCCAAGGTGCCTGACCAGACAGTTAATCTGATTGTCAACTTTGTCAACTTGATTCTCTTCTCCCCTCTCCTTCCCTTTCTCCTTCTCCCTTACCTCCCACTTCCTGGCTACTATGAGGGAAAACACTCCCCACACCTGCCTTGATGGACTGAAACCTCTGAAAAACTGAGCCCAAACAAATCCCTCTTTCCTAAAGTCCATTGTTAGGTATTTTGCCCCTGTGATGGAGAGTCTGACCACGTTAAAACTATGACAAATCCCCTCCCCTCCCCAGGCCCGAGGCTCTGGCCACCCTTGGAAATAAGGCCTTTGAACATGACAAAGTCAAAAGGAGGCTGTTGAACCTCTGACCTAATGTGTGTTCTCCTAAGAAAAGGAAAGTTAGGCTGTACTCCCAGCCCTCAGGAGGACTGTGAGTTCAAGGCCAGCTTGGGTTGCATAGTAAGACTACATCTTGAAAGAAAGAGACGGGGGAGAGGGGGAGTGAGAGGAAGGGAGGAAAGGAAGGAGGGAGGGAAGAGAGGGAGGGAGGAAGGAAAGAAAGGTGGACAAGGAGTAGGGATATTCACAGAGTGGAAGGGGCCCAGCAAGGGGGTCTGGCAGCACACTCAGGGGAGTGGCTGCAGGACGGAGCAGCACTACAGGTACCTTGACCTCAACTAGCAGCCTCCAGATGTGGACAGTCATCTCACAGCACCGCAGTGTTCCCAGCAGAAATGAAGACCTACTAAGCTCACATGGGCCTTAGTAACTGTGACTACTGTTCTCATCCTAAGCCTTCCCATCCCATTCACCTCAGCCTTGTGATGTTCACTCCTCCATACTCGGGGATACCGGCGTAGATCTGGTCCATCTGAAAGACAAGGGGCCATTGTGTCAGGCCAACATTCCCCCTCGGTATCTGCTGGAACTTTCCATGGAGTGGTGGCCTATCCCTGCACTGCCCCTGTACCAGAGATATGCGGACTACATGGGAGGCCCATTCCCAGAGGCCAGCCCCACCTGGCTCCACAGACCAGCTTCGCCTCATCCCCCTCTCCCACACCAATCCTGAGAATTTAGGCAATCTGGGCAAGTCGTTTTCTAACAATCCTTCAGTTTCTGCCTTTCCTTCTTCCCTCCCTCCCTTCCTCCTCTTTCCTTCCTTCCTTCCCTCTGTACCCATCTGTCTGTTTTTTTCTTGGTCCTGGGGCTTGAATCCAAGGCCTCAGCACTGTCCCTGAGGTTTTGTTGTTGTTGTTGTTGGTCGTGGGGCCTGAACTCTGGACTTGCGCGCTGTCACTCAGCAATTCTGCTCAAGGCTAGCGCCCTACCACTTGAGCCAAAGTGCCACTTCTAGCTTTTTCTGCTTATGTGGTGCTGAGGAATCGAACTCAGGGTCTCATGCATGCAAGGCAAGCGCTCTACCACTGAGCCACCTTCCCAGCCCCAGTTTTACCTGTTTTGTGAAGGTCTCATTGAACTCCTTAAATCTCTTGGAATTCCGGTCCTCTAGCTCACTGCTGAACTGTTCAGTGGTGACTGTCACGGACAGATCTACCTGGGCAGAGACGGTCTGTTCTGTGGGAGACAGAAGCACTACCCAGTGAGAACACACCCCTTCTCAGCTCCCTGCTATAGAGATTGGCACCCCCATAACCTTACCCTGGGTACAAGGGTGACTGGAGCGGGGGGTGGAGGAGCTCCCGCTCTCCTCTGGAGGGAAAAAGAAGCTTGCTACACTCTTCAGGGCTCATAGATGGAGCCTAGGGGAGCTCAGAACTTCCCAATGAATTGCAGGCTTGCTCCTCCACTGAATGCAGATGGTCCTCGACTTACGATGGGGTTACAGCCTGATGCACCCATCGTAAGTTGAACTTTTTTTTTGTCAGTCGTGGGGCCTGGCACTGTCCCTCAGCTCGTCAGCTCAAAGCTAGCGCTCTACCACTTGAGCCACAGCGCCACTTCTGGCTTTTTCTGCTTATGTGGTACTGAGGAATCAAACCCAGGGCTTCATGCACTGAGCCACCTTCCCAGCCCCGTAAGTTGAACATTATAATTGTAACAATGCTTTTCATCCATCTAGTCCACAGAAGACCATAGATCAGGAGCATAGCTCATGAAGAGGGAGGACGCAGTTGAGCTGAGCACTGTAAGGAAGGATGGTGCTAGCCTTGGAGCAAAACCAAATTCCAGATCTCAAGTATGGTTTCTAATGGATTTGTCTATCATTTATACACAATCGTTAACACACACACACACACACACACACACACACTCCTGCCAGCCAGGTGCCAGTGTGTGAACCTGTCATCCTATCTACTCGGGAAGCTGAGATCTGAGGATCAAGGTTGAAGCCAGCCTGGGCAGGAAAGACCATGAGACTCTTATCTCCATTGAACCACTAAAAGCTGGAAATGGAGCTGTGGCTCAAGTGGAGAGTGCCAGCCTTGAGTGACAAAAGCTCAGGGATAGTGCCCAAGCCCTGAGTTCAAAATCTAGTACCAGCACCAAGATGATGATGATGATGATGATGATGATGATAAAAGAGAGAAAGACAAAAGGAGAATGAAAAAGGAGAGAAGAAAAAAAAAAAGGAGGCTAGATTCCTGGCTATGTACCATGAGGGACAGCAGGCTTTCTGGCTGCATCATGCTGGGCCTGGCAGAGGGTATGAGAGGCCAAGATTACTCACCTAACTCGATACTCTCCACCACGTCCTCACACCTTGGTCCGTAGAAGAGGCTGGTACACTGGCACTTGAGCCCGTCCCAGGAGCCGCCATTTTGGCAGATAATGACAGCATTCTGACACCGATCTCCCGAGAAGCCCACAGGACATTCACACACGCCTCCAACCAACAGTCCTCCATTCATGCATTGAACTGAAAGAGACAAGATCCTGATCAGCCAGGTATGTGCGTGAGAATGAGTGCAAACAGTGCTCAAGAGGTAGAGCACCAGCCTTGAATGATAGAAAGCTCAGACTCAGTGCTGAGGCCTGGAGTTCAAGTCCAGGACCAGCATATATACACATATACAAAAAGATGACACAAAATGAAAATGGGCGCTGGCACATAAGACCCCTGGGCACCTATGATTGAGGTTGATGGTATTATATTGTGAAAAAACTGGAATTCACACTTATTGGGGGAGAAAGGAGAAAGCCCATGAAAATCGGAGAAAAATATAAAAGAAAGACACAGAGCTAATGACCTTATGACAGGGACAAAAGTAACACAGGAGAGACTAGCAGGGAATAGGAAAGAAGGACCAGGACAGAGATGGTTCCTAGGGATCTCACCTGCTAAGAAAATAAGTGTACCATTTTCTAAGAAGAAAAACAAGAAAGGACTGGAAATAACAGAGTGAGTTAGACAATTCAGAAGTAGGTGATTACAAAAGATGGACAAAAAAAAACACAAACAAATAGAAAAAGAGCAGTGAAAGAAAAGATCAGTAGAAAGCACAAAAACATGGAAAAGAATACACAAAGAAATGGAGATTAAAGCAAACATTTAATTTTTATTTATTTATTTATTTTTGCCAGTTGTGGGGCCCGAACTCTGGGCCTGGGCACTGTCCCTCAGCTCTTCAGCTCAAGGCTAGTGCTCTACCACTTGAGCCACAGCGCCACTTCCAGCTTTTTTCTGCTTATGTGGTGCTGAGGAATCGAACCCAGGGCCTCATGCATGCAAGGCAAGCGCTCTACCACTGAGCCACCTTCCCAGCCCCTAAACCAAATATTTTAAAAGGTGCTTACCTGGTGTGGTGGTTGGGAGAGTAGAGGTGATGATAGTGGTAGTAGCTGTGGTTTAAAAAAAAAAAAGTACAAATGAAAAAAAAACGAACACCAGAAAAAGAACATTGGAGGAAAAGATTAGGTAACACATACACACATGCACACACACACACACACACACACACAGAAATGGAATATCAAAAGAAATGGAGATTAAAGCAAATATGATTTAAACATACACTTACCCTGTGTGGTGGTTGGAAGCATGGAGGTGGTAGTGCTGGTGGTGATAGTAGTGGTGGTGGCTGTGGTAACAGATGAAGTGGTTGTAGTCACAGGTGTGGATGGAACAGTTGGAGTGCTGGGGGATGTGGTGGGTAGGAGAGAAGTGCTAGTGGCTGAAGAGGTAGCAATGAGGGGTTGGGAAGAGGTACTGGATACAAGGGTAGTTGGAAGAGGAGTACTGAGCGTAGAAGGGCTGCCTACATGGGGACTTGTGAAAGTCACAGTTGAAGGAGCTGAACTGCCCATGGAAGTGGTGGTTGGACGTGTGTTTGGGTGCACGGAAGAAGAGGAGTGTGTGCTAGACTCAGGTAAACTGGTCACAGGAGTGCTGGAGACCAAGGTGGTAGAGAAGGTCGTACTTCCGTAAGTAGGTGGAAACACAGGAGTGGTAGTAACCGGCATGGTTGAAGCTGAAGTGATTTCTGGAGTTATGGTCACAGGAGTGCTTGTGTCCTCTGGAGGGAGGGAGAATGAGGTGGTATAAGAAGTACTTGTCACTACTGTGCTTGAGGACAGGCTTGTGGATGATGGAGTACTTCCTTCTTGTAGTGTGGAAACAGAGGTGGTGGTGACCTCCACAGCTGAAGATGAACTGACTTCAGGAATTATAGTCACAGGTATGGTTGTATCCTCTGGGCTGAAGGGCAATGTGGTGATACCAGGAGTACTTGTCACTACTGTGCTTGAGGACACGGTGGTGGAAGATGTAGTAGTTCCTCCTGGTGGTGTGGAAACAGGGGTGGTGGTGACCTCCACAGGAGATGAACTGACTTCAGGAGTTGTACTCACAAGTGTGGTTGTGGCCTCTGGAGTGGGAGACAAGGTGGAGATACCAGAAGGACTGGTCACCGTTGTGCTGGAAACTAAGGTGGTGGATGATGGAGAACTTCCTTCTGGTAGTGTGGAAACAGGAGTGGTGGTGACCTCCAGAGGAGAAGATGAAGTGATTTCAGGAGTTGT